AAATAATTTTTAACAACCTCACGCAAAAGTTTGTTTTCTTTTTTTGTATGCAGATCAACTAAGTACAAATAATTCTGTAAAAGTCAGGGATCTAATTTACACTATGCCGATATCATAAACAGGACCCCCTTTTAAATCGCTACAAAGTCTATATTTTTACATTCTGAAAAGTGCCGGGGTCTAGGACTGTATAAGAATGCAAAAAATATTCCTAAACATAATTCTCCCTATTTTTTACGAGTGTACCAGGATACTTAAATAGTGCTGCTATATCATTTGCTTCTTGAATTTCATGTTATGCATATATATATATATATATATATATATATATATATATATATATATATATATTATAATAATAATGATAATAATAATAATAATAATAATAATGGTAATGGACTCTCCCGTCGGTTTTGACGTATGACAAAATCTGACAGCTTAGTTGATTCAGTTATGAAATTTTGTGCGATAATCTTAAGTGGCATTTAAGACCTGCTAGTGATTTACAAAGGAGGCCACATATGGAGCAAGTGTGAGGATTGTGAGATGAGATCACTGTTAGATTGGCTGACCTTATAGATCTTGCTCTCGCTTCTTGAAGATGATTCAGACAAGCAGATTGAAAACTGCTGAGTCCACTAAAACACGTTGATCTCCATTCTACCCGCAAAATCCGAAGCTGTATTTTACCTGGGGCTACGACTATGTCGGATTGTTGGAAAGGCTATAACATCATTGAAGGATGATCCCAATTATATTCATCTGATTGTAAATCTCAGTCGGAATTTCGTTGATCCAGAAACATCAGCTCCCACGCAAACAATCGAAAGTACCTGGTGAAACGCCAAAATGAAGAATATGTCCATGTTTGGGACACCATTGCAGCGTAATAAATTTTTATTTGTGTGAGTTCCTTTGGAGACGTAAGGTACAAAAATAATAATGAATGCATTTTTTTTAAATTTTAAAAGGTATTTCTAAATTTGGGTGGGAAGTTTAGCAAATATAAATTCTTTTAATATTTTAGGTGAATTAACGGAAAAAACAATTCTGAAAAGTGCCAGGGTCTAGGACTGTATAAGAATGCAAAAAATATTCCCGCTAGTGACATATAAAAGAGGCCACATATTTTTTTTATTTTTTTTCATGTTCAGCGCTAATTGCAGCCTGACATTTCTGTATTTTGGTATGAAAAAGAAAATAAAAAACTTATTCTGAATAATCGAAATAAAAAAAAGCAATTTTTTTTTTTTAAATTTCAAAAAGTCAAATATATGAAAATAGATTTCATTTTGTCTTTAGTGTGATTTTTTGAAAACGGTCGTGTGTTTAAAATTCACACAAATATTACAACTAAAACCAGAAACTCCTTGTAGTTACTTTACGGAGGTTTTCAGAAAGCCACTTGCTTAATCACGACAATTTGACTTTTTATTTGCTATTAAAGAAAAAATATTTTGTGGGGGGTTCAAGCAAAGAAGGGTTAATAGAAAAAACAAATCACAGTACTAATGGACTAATGGAGAGTTGGTAATCAGAACGAACGTCTTCTTTTTTTTTTTCTTTTTTTCCATTTTCTTCTTTTTCTGTTTCTTCTGTATGCCGGTGTAAATTTCAAAAGGTTTTATCTTGTGAACTTGAATTAAAAGGTCAATTAAAAAAAATGAATTTCTACCTTTCAAAATAGATTTTATTTCATTTTTATTTTGATCTTTTGAAACAATTTATGATCAATTTTGTTCTAACTCATTCTTAGCGATTATAATATTTTGCATCGCTGAGTCATTCGCCGTGACATCTATTAGAAATTCTAACACAAACTCCAACGCACTGGTATTTATCAACCTCCTCACAAGGCAGATTGCAGTACAAGACCAATTTTTATGTGGGGGCATTCCGAGTCCGTAGGCTCGGGGGAAAAATTCCCCGTAGACCCCGCATACACGGGGTCAGTTTGTTTACCGACACAGACGAGACTCTGTCCGTAGGCATAGCCTCATCTGGGTTCCTCTCTGCCCGAAGACAGAGAGTTCGACAAATCAGTCGCAACCCTGGCAGCGAACTACCTGACTTCAATGGACGTCTCTAACTCTCTTTGAGTTCTTTATTTAAGGCGTTTTGCCTAGTTCATTTGTGTTACCGTGGTTGTTTTAGCTGCTTCACAACAAATTTGCCTACTCTTCAACTGTTTTTTTTTTCACATTTCAAACAATAACATTACTCTGTTCTTTGCATACGCTTCTATCACAATTATTACAGACAGTTTTTATTTTGCGGTCATGTGTTTGGAATTCACACAAATAATATGACTAAAAACAGAAACTCCTTGTAGTCGACGGAAGTTTTCCAGAAAGCCACTTATATTGTGTTTATATTGTGTAGAGGTGTTCAATCACCCAACAGTGGTAACGAAGGGTTAATGTATATTACAACTTACTATCTCGTTGTCTTCATTTGTCAAAGTTAACAACAGATATAGCAGCTATTTTACCGCAATTTTACCGTATTTAAATTAATTATAACGGAGGATTTCCGGAATACAATTCTAACCATCTATACATTTTTCTCTATTTGTCAAAACTGACAACAGATATAGTCGTTATTTTTACCTGAACTCTATATGCATTTAAGTTAATTATAACGGATGGTTAATACAGAATACAATTCTAAGTTGTTATGTCGCATTTCTAGGTTTTGTCGAAGCTGACAACAGGTATAGAAGCTATTTCTGATGCAACTGTAGAAATATTTAAGTTAATTATGGAAGAGAGCTGAACTACCTATGTAGTTATTCACTTATTCTTTTCTCTGTCTACCAATGCGGCCTGCCAGTGACAAGACCTTTGTTAAGAGAAGTAGCAATAAGAAAGAATGGTCGGTGAGTGAAATTCATAATTATTGCGAAAGTGATATTTAAATAAATAAATAAATAAATAAATAACCTTGACCAAATCTCCAACTATGTTCGCCGACAACGTTTATCGGTTTGTTAACCATTACACCACTCCGACCACGCACTTCCAGCAGCAAGATAACGACTCTTAATTTTCTTTTTTTTCCGAAGAAGCCAAGAAATGCTCTGTTTCGGAAGCCGCTTTCAGTCGGATTATCATGTTACGCTTGTGAACGATCTGAAAAGACGATAATCGATCGGCATGATAATAAAACAACGCGGTTTTTCCGTCTCGTAATTTCAGCTGTTCACACTGTAAGGTTTCTCCAACTAACCGATAGCACTGAGCTCATTAGCTCGCTCGACGACAGTTTACCTCCAGCATAAGAAGTCGGCGTTCAAGCTGAGTTAAGAGCCACGCCTAAAATGTGCTAAAATTTATATTGGTGAAACACGACGAAATTAAAAAAAAAAAAACAAAAAAAAACAACCTATCTATGAACACAAAAAAAGCAATAAAAATGGAGCTTATTTTTTTTTAATTTTTTATTCTCCCATATATAAAAATACAAAGCATTTTTTCGATTTTAAAAACGTCGAAATAGTTAAATTTATTCGTAATATTCGTAATAAATCATTTAAAATTGTAGCCGAGTTAATAACTAACTAGTAATCTTAAAAATGTAGGAAAATATTCTCTGTAATCTAATGTTTTATTCAATGTTAGTGTCATGGGTCCTTACCTATAACTACAGAATGAACTCTTCCTAACACTATGTATACTACGCCTCTCAAGAGAGAGGGTCGAATCGAGTTGAGCTTCTTGGCTTGACGATCGAACTCTCTGCCTCTGAGCGGGGAGGAACCCGGACGACGCTCCACAGAAGGGCAGAGTCTCGTTCGGGGAGGTTGACCAACCCGATCCCGTTTATACGGGTTCTACGGGCATTTTTGGCCAGGAAACCCACGTTAAACTCGGCCTTGTGCCACATGCAACCCTCGTGGGGGTGGGAGGGCTAGATACCGAATCGAGTCGAGCCGATAGTAGTTCACTCCAAACCAGACTGACAGTCATACTAACACCTTCCACATCTTGTATTATTATTTCGTGTAATATACGTTCCTTATTTCTACTCTTGTGTTCGTGTTGTTCTTTCTTGGTCCTAACCTGGACCATAACAGTTAGGTACTTTGGCTTTAAATTTACTACAATTATCGATCTTATTTCCTGACAATGTCGTGTGTGGATGCCCGTATTTACAAAAAACGGCACGTTTATACGCATCCAAAAGATTTACTTGAAATATATAATATAAATGCCTTTTTTATATAATTTATAACTACCCACTAACCTTTAAATTTCTGAAATGTTCTCCGTAATCTAATGTTTTATTGAATTTTGGGTACTTTCAGTCAATTAAGTACCATGCGTCATACACGCTTAGGCGATCATTTAACTTTCGATACATGACTGACGAGGTAGATTTTTTCCCGCAGTAGGTTGCCATTTCTTTTGCCAATTGTTATCCAAGAACCCGGTCTGTCCTGCTATTTATCTATATCTGGGGTGAGAAGTGGATTCATACGTTTTCCAAGGGCATTAGCACGTAAGTGAATGTAATGGATTCGAATGGAAATCGAACGCGGCTTTCCGATTCCGAGCCGCTATCCATTACTCCGCCTACCTCCTAAGTTAGTTATACACGCTTAGGTGATCATGTATCTTTCGATACATGAGTGACGAGGCAGATTTTTCTCGTAGTAGGTTGCCATTTCTTTCTGCGGTAGACCAGTTGCCATCCAAGCTATAGAACCCAGTCTGTCCTACTATTTACCCATAGCTGTGGGGAGAAGAAGAGGATTCATACCTTTCCCAAGGGTATTAGCATGTAAGTCAATGTAATGGATTCGACTGGAATTCGAACTCGGCTCTCCGATTTCTTAATCCGAGCCGCTATCCATTACTCCTCTAATTATTTATTTATATCAAAATTCTTTTTAAAATATTGGTGTCCAATGAATTGTACTAAGGTTTTCCATTTATGATTAGTAAATATAGTTTTAACATAATAACAATTAGCATTGATGTCTGTTGAAATTTATAGACTTACGGCCATATCACGTGGAAACACCGGTTCCCGTACGATCACCGAAGTTAAAAAAAACGTCGAGCTTAGTCAGTGCCTAGATGGGTGACCGCTTGGGAATACCAATACGCTTTGATGTTCGGGTGGTGTAATGGATAATGGCTCGGAATTGTTAATCGGAGAGTCGAGTTCCAATTCCAGTTGGGTTCGTTATATTCACTTACGCGCAAATAACCTTGGGAAAGGTATGGATCCACCACTTCTCTCCCTACTAGCTGTGGGTTAATTAGTAATACTTGTATCTATAAACTATTATTATCTCCCCGACAAAAAAAATCTCATCATTTAAAAATATTTTTTTGCTATAAATAATCAATTTTGCCGCCATTCATGTACTGCGCTTAAATTCCTAAAGTCTAGGAATCATAGACGTTAGTTTATCAGAACAATTACCATTTACTATTATTTATAGAAAAGAAACGGAGAAGCTACGTTGCCACTGTGGGATACTGAAAATACAGTGTAACCCGGATATAAGTCTCTTATATCCGGGTTTCTCTTATATCCGGGTTTGGTCTATATGTATACGTTAACACAGGCTCTAATTTGGGACCAGAGGAAATCTCTCTTATATCCGGGTTTCTCTTATATCCGGGTTTCTCTTATATCCGGGTTTGGTCTATATGTATACGTTAACACAGGCTCTAATTTGGGACCAGAGGAATCTCTCTTATATCCGGGTTTCTCTTATATCCGGGTTTCTCTTATATCCGGGTTTGGTCTATATGTATACGTTAGCACAGGCTCTAATTTGGGACCAGAGGAAATCTCTCTTATATCCGGGTTTCTCTTATATCCGGGTTTCTCTTATATCCGGGTTTGGTCTATATGTATACATTAGCACAGGCTCTAATTTGGGACCAGAGGAAATCTCTCTTATATCCGGGTTTCTCTTATATCCGGGTTTGGGTTTCTCTTATATCCGGGTTTCTCTTATATCCGGGTTTGGTCTATATCCGGGTTTGTCTATATGTATACGTTAGCACAGGCTCTAATTTGGGACCAGAGGAAATCTCTCTTATATCCGGGCTTCTCTTATATCCGGGTTTCTCTTATATCCGGGTTTGGTCTATATGTATACGTTAACACAGGCTCTAATTTGGGACCAGAGGAAATCTCTCTTATATCCGGGCTTCTCTTATATCCGGGTTTCTCTTATATCCGGGTTTGGTCTATATGTATACGTTAACACAGGCTCTAATTTGGGACCAGAGGAAATCTCTCTTATATCCGGGTTTCTCTTATATCCGGGTTTCTCTTATATCCGGGTTTGGTCTATATGTATACGTTAGCACAGGCTCTAATTTGGGACCAGAGGAAATCTCTTATATCCGGGTTTCTCTTATATCCGGGTTTCTCTTATATCGGGTTTGGTCTATATGTATACGTTAACACAGGCTCTAATTTGGGACCAGAGGAAATCTCTCTCTTATATCCGGGTTTCTCTTATATCCGGGTTTCTCTTATATCCGGGTTTGGTCTATATGTATACGTTAACACAGGCTCTAATTTGGGACCAGAGGAAATCTCTCTTATATCCGGGTTTCTCTTATATCCGGGTTTCTCTTATATCCGGGTTTGGTCTATATGTATACGTTAACACAGGTTCTAATTTGAAACCAGAGGAAATCTCTCTTATATCCGGGTTTCTCTTATATCCGGGTTTCTCTTATATCCGGGTTTGGTCTATATGTATACGTTAACACAGGTTCTAATTTGAAACCAGAGGAAATCTCTCTTATATCCGGGTTTCTCTTATATCCGGGTTTCTCTTATATCCGGGTTTGGTCTATATGTATACGTTAACACAGGCTCTAATTTGGGACCAGAGGAAATCTCTCTTATATCCGGGTTTCTCTTATATCCGGGTTTCTCTTATATCCGGGTTTGGTCTATATGTATACGTTAACACAGGCTCTAATTTGGGACCAGAGGAAATCTCTCTTATATCCGGGCTTCTCTTATATCCGGGTTTCTCTTATATCCGGGTTTGGTCTATATGTATACGTTAGCACAGGCTCTAATTTGGGACCAGAGGAAATCTCTCTTATATCCGGGCTTCTCTTATATCCGGGTTTCTCTTATATCCGGGTTTGGTCTATATGTATACATTATCCGGGCATCCGGGAGGGCTCTAATTTGGGACCAGAGGAAATCTCTCTTATATCCGGGTTTCTCTTATATCCGGGTTTCTCTTATATCCGGGTTTGGTCTATATGTATACGTTAACACAGGCTCTAATTTGGGACCAGAGGAAATCTCTCTTATATCCGGGTTTCTCTTATATCCGGGTTTCTCTTATATCCGGGTTTGGTCTATGTATACGTTAACACAGGCTCTAATTTGGGACCAGAGGAAATCTCTTATATCCGGGCTTCTCTTATATCCGGGTTTCTCTTATATCCGGGTTTGGTCTATATGTATACATTAGCACAGGCTCTAATTTGGGACCAGAGGAAATCTCTCTTATATCCGGGCTTCTCTTATATCCGGGTCTCTTATATCCGGGTTACACTGTAGTAAGAAAAAGACATTTATAGGGTTAGCGGTAGTGTGTTTGGACGCGGGGGGGTGCCTACACCACGTGGCCGTGTGACTAAGTCTCCTGAGAAGGGAATACTGGACAAGTCCTCTACCTACCATATTCTAATAAGAATGGTTGATATAAATATCTCAATAAGAGAACTTAACCAAAATGAGTCCTAAAAATATTTCGGAGACCAAGAGGAAGATGGTATAGTGAGTTTCCAAACGTAGCATGGATGCGTCACAAGGCCGAAAATAAGTGGCACCCAGTGAGGATCGAACTCACTACTCATTCGTAATTGTTTCAGCGAAGCAAGCTTGATAGCCATTACACCACTTCGATTGGCCGAAAGAGGAAGATGGTATGAGCCAGGTAGCAATCAAACTTTCAGAAGGCAGACTTACATAAGAATGAGATCAATTGTACGTACAGAATGTTATTTCTTTTTATCATTTCACCCTTGCGCGAAGGCAATAAAGCCACTAAGACACAAGATCATGAGGATATGTAGGATAGATAACGGTTGTGATTGTAATGATCAGGGATGCGTCCTGACAGGTGTTTGTTCAAGCGGCGTTTTTGGGGGAGTTTGAGAGAATACTAGAAAAGAAAATATTATTAGGGAGAGAGAACAATAAAAGAACAAGAATAAAGAAGACGGAAGATAAAGATTGGCATTGCATTTGCATTTTTGAAGATTAAAGTTAACTAGAAAGTAAGAAGCCTGAAGAGTGCTCCACAAACGAGAAGTGCGAGAGAAGAAACTGTTAGCATAGAACTTACGGCTACATCTAATCATTTCAACTATGAATTGACGAGACCTTGCCGCCAATCTAATACTGCGCTTAAATTCATAAAGTCTACGTACCAATTGCTACAAAAAGGAAAGAAAGGATTTAGAAAAAAAAAGACACTGGAAAGCTATGTTCCGTCGGTGGGGAATGGACTAGTTTTGTATTTATTAATCTCACATCGCGAATTGTTCTGAGGAATTCAGCGTACAGGTCATCTCTGCTTTCAGAGAAACTATGATCTGGAATTGGGATATTCCAGATCATAGTTTCTGTTTTGAAAAGATGCCACCCATATTTCTAGGAACGCTTCGTAAATGTTGATTTTTTTTTTATATTCAAGATCATTATTTTCCCAGCTATGTATGCCTACGTCATCAGCATCGACCCATTCATAAGGCTTCCATTATATTGATATATTTATTAAGCTTAGCCTGACACAAGATCATATGTTCCGTAGAGTGGTAATGCAGATTTGGAACTAGCTTTCTGAAGGCTGCTCTACGGCTGGTATCAATTAGATGATCACGGTTATCAACAGAATTGTCATTACTTCTTGGTAATGAGTTTTGTGATATCAACGAACATTCGTTGACACTTTTGTAATGCTCGTTGTAGCAGAGACTTTGTAATCGCAGATACAACAATCGTAACGCCGTTGAACAATGCTGGTGGCAGACGCCTTCGAATAACATTTGCATTAATAGCACTTGCTCGATAATACTCGCTCGAATAGTAACCACTGAATAGTGATCCGAATAGAGGAATAGTACAGTGAATAGAGTAGAGAATAGCGTTCCGTATAATAATAGAGGATAGACTAGAAATAACGATCCGAATAGTGATAGAGGATAAAATAGAAATAGTAATTGCTAGTCGTCAGCTACTTCCTACATATATGCGTTTCCTGTATGATCACATGGTTCATTCAATAATGGGATCGCCTGTGTTTGCTCACTGGCGATCTATGTTCAAACTCAAGTGTCGGCAGCGACACTTTATTCTTATATAACAAAGATTCACCAAATACAAATGGAACTGCCTTCTTGCTAATAGAATTCATAATGACTTTCCCAATGTACGTGGCATGGTGAGTCTTTACTGTGAAGGTCTACATTGGTGGAACTAAGGAATGTACCTCGTCAGGTCATTTGCCACGGAAATAGCGATAACTTAGCCTGAAAAAAGACCATGTGTTCCATAGAGTAGTAAGGTGGAACCAGCTTACTGATCGCTGCTCTACGGCTGGTGTCAATTAGACGATCATGGACCTCAACATAATTAGCATGACTTCTTAGGGAAGATTCACCCGATACAAACCCCAAGAGCCACTAAAGGTAGAGGGTTACTGAATTACGTAAGGGATGAAGTGCTTGTCATGAGGATATGTAGGATAGATAAGAGTTATCATTGTAATGATCAAGGACGCGTCCTGACAGGTGTTTGTTCAAGCGGCGTTTGTTGAGAAGATACACGAATGGAACTACCTTCTTACTAATAGAATTCATAATGGGAATAATTCTTCCCAATGTATGTGGGATGGTGAGTCTTCTGTGAAGGTCTGAACTGGTGGAACTAAGGAATGTACCTCGTCAGATCATTTGCCACGGAAATAGCGATGGAGTAGTGAAAGGCTAGCAACGTTTTGCCTGATGGAAAGGGGTTACATATTGGGAAATGATTTATAACCTACAAGCCCGCGTAATCGTATTTGAACTCAAGGCAGCACCGGCTAAGATATACACAG